GGGAAGTCACGGGCGACTTCCTGTATTGAAGTAACAGTCAGCAGTGCTGTCACTGCCAAGTACATGACATTGCTAAATACTGTACTGTGTATTCATTGATTTTTCACGGGGATGTAACTTTGCTGTAGGTGGGGAAAGGAGGTTTTCAAAGTGTTTTGACTTTGCAATAGAAACATTTCTGTATAGCACAGTAGTAATACAAGGAAAATACATATTCGCAGTGTAATCTCTTGAACTTAAAAATCATAATCAACAATGCGACTTTTCTTTAGTTAGCTACTGGTATAATAAAGTCATAGAAACAGCCCTTAAATGAAGAAAAAGAAAATGGTATGAAGGTGATATTAGGTGCCTCTTCTATTGATTGATTGCTCAAAGCCATGCTTTCTACTGTTAGCAGGATGCCAGGAGCAAGTCAGCGTCTCCGAGCCCTAAATCAACAGTTAGAAGAAAAAGCACAGACTTCATCGTGGGGTCAACAACAGCACTAATCCTGGAAAACAGACCAACGTAAGTAGAGTCTACAGGTACAGGTACAGGTAGTATGTACACAGCCCTATGTGTAATCCCAGGTCCTTTGACTTGTATCCCTACAGTTGGAATTTCATCCTAGTGGGAATAGGGCCAAAGCCTCTGTATGCAGGTAATTATTGATTAATCTAATGTTACTCTGGAAATGTTCTCAGAAGCTACAGGAAAAATCTTGCAAGTTGGTTGAATTACCATAAAGATCACTCAACATTTTAATTTTGGAAACCAGACATCCACTTTCAAAAAGTAGAATGCATTTTGAATAAGCACTGACTAAAAGAGAAGTGGTTTTGCTCCTACTCCTAGCCATGGTGTAAACACATGGGAATCATGGATAATTGGATGCAGAAAATGGAAAGTATGTCTAATTTCTCCTTCCAAACCTCCTTTGAGATAAAAGATCTCAGACAATCCCATGATCAGGCAGACTGAACTGGGGAATGTAATGGCGACTGTACAGTCCCTGGAATATATGGGAACCTTGCTGGAACCATAACACTTATTCACTCCTTCAACCCACACCAAAAACTATCAATCAATAGATTCAACTGTTGCTATAGTGGGGATTTCAATTACAGCATGACCCATAGTAACTTAAAAGGTACCACAGGAGAAAACAGGATACCTTTATTTTTGGTTCCCCAAAGCTTTGACTTAATCCTTGGAGACTGTATAGAATATAAGAGATGAGTGGTGGAAGAAAAGTAGGTCAAGTAAGGTTTACATGTTTCAGTTAGGGCTGTGTACCTAATACTTGTACCTTGTAACAGTTACCTATACCTGTAAAATCATTTAGGTACCTGAACATCCAGTGTACCTGTACCTGACCAAAATAAAACACTAATCGATACCATATTTTACACTAGTCAAGATGTTTAAGTTGGGTTTCTATGATAACAATTCTTTTGCAATTTAGCACTTGAAAATCAGGAAAACTTCTTAGATTAAAAGATATTAAATTCAGTATCAGTTAACAACTAACAAGGAGAGTTGGCCACTTAAAAGTATGTATGAAGAGACTTAGTTTGCCTCCCACATGTCCATGATGTGTGTCATCCTGATGTCTGCCCAGGAACCTGCCTCCCAAGTCTGCTGAGGAGGAACAGAAACACAGGGAGCAGTATGAGGCCATGGTGGAGGAGGCCAAGAGGAGAGGTTTGTTTGTTTGTTTGTTTGCTTGTTTGTTTGCTTGTTTGTTTGCTTGCTTGTTTTTGTTTGTAGAAGCAATACACCAGATCGGCTTATACTCCTCAAAGACAGGACCTCTGACTTTACATAATGTATATCCCCTCTGAGAGAATATGCCTTACAGAAGCTATTTTCACCGGAGTCATTTGAGGAAATTGTGTAAAATTCCTTTCCAAAGGGAAACCTTTGAAACATGGAAGTTTAAGAAGGGATAGGCGTGTTCATTTTCATCTTTGGCCTTGCAGAAAAAAAGGACATCAAGCAGAAGATGATGCAACTGCAGCAACAAATCAAACACGAGGACACGGTGGCATCAGCCATGGAGGTGTGGAACAGTGAGATTCTCAACAACTGGGACATCATGTGAGCAACATCTTGTCATACATAGTAACTGTGCCAAGTTTTGTTACTTCCCATTACGGAGGTAGTGTTTTGAGTGCCTGAGCTGCGGGATCGTTTTGGTTTATCCAGACAGAGTAGGTTGACAGCACATGGGCGGGTGAAGATTGACAGGCAGAATGACAGGAGGTCTTAGAATCTGGCAAAGAGCCAGCAGCTGGGAAAAGTCGACATGGGGGAAATCAGGAAGCCTGGGAATTCTGCTTTCTTGTTCCATAGGAAATTAGTCTAGGAATACCTTTATTGAACATATACATTTGACATTCAGAGGTATGTAGCCTCCTATACTAAGTGGAAGAAGATTAGGGGAAAAGTTTACTGAGCCACCCTTGTATTGATACTTAAGCTTTCTTCCTTCCACCTCACCAGGAAACACTCCAGGAAAGCCCAGGAGCTGTGGTGGCAAGGCTTGCCTCCCTCCATACGGGGGAAGGTCTGGAAACTGGCCATTGGAAATGACCTCAACATTACTTATGGTAGGATTCTACATACCACATCTCTGCCATACATGAGATTTTAAATTACTCCCAATTGAAAGATAAGTTGCTGGGTTATTTTTGCTTAGGTATGTCTGTATGGGTACAACCCTCTACCTTCATTGTGATACATGCAAGTAAGAAAACCTGACTACCGGTACATGTACTTTATTGATAGTCACAGAATATATATCAACATCCCGGCATTGCACCAAACATTACCAAGGTGTTTTTTTAAACACTACTTGATCTCACTTCTCCAGAGTTGTACGAGATCTTCCGAGCACGTGCCAAGGATAGAATCAAGCTGCTGTGTGAGTCAGGACCAGAGTCAGATGAAGGTATCATCCTGTTTCATAACTCTGTAAACTAGAGGAGACATTCATGGACAATATCTATTGAATTTCCTGATATTTTTTCTTTAATAAATTGGCTCAGTGCAAGTCACTGAACTCAGTTTGTGCTTGTGTATTACCCTCCATAACCTTTATATAGGGTTTTTAATCCACACAAGTTAAATGGTAATCTACATACTTTTTGATGTAGCAATGTCAAAGAAAGGATTGTAATCAAGTTGGTTACTGTACATGTCAGAGCAATATAGGCACCCTGCAGGTCTGAACCCCCTTGAGTACTGAATAAACTATTGTTATTATTTACTACTTGTGTAGACCCATCTCCTGCAGACTGGGACAGGGAGTCGAGTGTGGAGCTGATTAAGTTGGACATCAGCAGAACCTTCCCTCATCTCTGTATCTTCCAGAAGGTGTGCTTTTCTCTTTAACACTTAAACAGTTTACCAGCTAATCCTCAGCGAGGTAGATCAGGCCAAGCAAAATTAACGTTGTGCTTCCAGTCACAGTCTTTAAATGGCAACACCAGTGGTCTCTAAGGCACTTTCTTTCTTTGACAGAATTTACACCCAAATCTTTTTTTTTATCACCTCACTGTTCCAGCATAGCTTATATTTATGGTGGTTTGAACTTTGCACAATATTGCCCGATGTGTCACTACACCAAGATGTCATTTGTCACTGTGTAATGAGCTCCCAGCTTGTATACAGCTTCGTCATGTTTGGGTCAGTGTAACCACCAACTATCAAAGGATACCACATGTCCTTGACTTACGTCTGAAACACAACATTTTTACTTGGCCTCTTCTGTATTAATTTTGCACCCAATGATTCTAAGATGATATTATATACTTGTCAAGATCAAGACACTGAAATATTGAGGGAATGTCAAGGGGATGTGACATGTACATTTCCTGCAACTCTGAGTGGAGATACACTTTGACAAGTGTACTTCAAATTAGTGCACACCACATTTTAAGATCAGTGCCAATTATTCAAAAAAGTGCCATAATTTTGCACATTTCTTTTGATTAGCCAATCAGATTCAGATTGAAGATTAGTGTTTCTTTGTGATTTGGTGATTAGAAGAGAAAATTGAACAGCACCTAACTAACCAATTATAGACATGTACTGGGGCACTCCTACTCTGTCAGTTCAACCGAAACAGTTTGTCTTAAAGGAAGTTGATTTCTATGTTCAAAGAAAAAGATGATTGAATAACATTTGCAAGCAATTGTTATTGCTTAAAAAAAGTTAAAATACAGAAGGAAACAGTCAAACAACCTTCAATAAGCTGTATGCCAGACAACAGAATTTTCGGCTATTCAGGGGGCAAGTAAAGAAATACCATGGCAACTTGTCTCCAGTGCACCTGTACTGTGGTCTGGTTGTCATAGTAATAATTTTGCTTTCCCCTTGCATTACCCAGAGTTCTCTATTTGTCCCAGCATACAAATAGATCTGGCATAGCACTTGTGAATGTAATGCTTGCAGTTTTAAAATTGTTCTCTTCTTGAGTTGGAATGCCCCATGTCATGACTTGTCCACTGAAATGTCACCAAAAAAGAAAGACAACTAACACTGTTTTCTGGCCTAACAGGAAGAAATAGTGGACAAAGGCACTGTCGTGAAAATGGTAAATGAGTTTGTAAAGTTCCTCTACTCTTCTACTCTTGAAAAAGGAACATTTAACATTAAAACATTATGCTTATAGCTTGAAGATTAGCAAGACCATAAATATTATGGACATTTCATAGGTACCCTCATTATTATATATTGCCTGTAAGACAGCTTACTTTCTGTCTGCAATTTACCTGTAAAGGTTCTTACTCTTAGGTTGCAGGTGACTGACATCTTTAAATGATAAATGAATTCATCTCAATTTTTTACTTTTAAATCATGTTTACTATAGGTGATCCATTTCTTTTCTACAAGAGTCCCACCACAATTTGAAGTTTTGAGAAACCCGAAGTCTTGATAAACATCTTATTAACTGTTAATTCATGTTTCTGTCATCATTGAGGAACACAGATTACCGGTACTTTGTCAAATTGTTTAGGTAGAGGTACAGTTCTGTACTGTACTGTTGGTACCTGTGCCTGATGTTATGTTTTGGTACGTAGCACTAGTAGGGTATCATTACCTTCAGCATATCAGCAACATGCCCTGCCGTGTGCTTCTGTCCCAAAGAGAAGTTAAATGATGTAAGCTTCCATATGCTGCCCGGAGACTTCAAGAAGCTACACATGTGGAAGAGTGATTGATAATGTTTTTAATTTAAATAGTTAGATGTACTAGTTGTAAATGGATCGGACAACATTATTTTATCACATGTACATGTCAGTTAATCATGTTTGTTTTCTGTCTGCAGGGCGGGCCGTACCATGACATGCTGCATGGGGTCCTGGGGGCGTACGTGTGTTACCGGCCTGACGTGGGATATGTATGTAGTCTTATCATCTGCTTAAACTCAGTTTTTCACAAACAGATTTTTACCATTCACTTCAGAATCCATATGCCTGATCCTGGCTAGATGTGGGATATATTGGTGTTTAAGTCCTTTATTCAATTTTAGATGAAAATTGAAATTCATGGAAATCTGCAAAAGATCTCACCACCTTTTTGAAAAGAGTAAGGGTTCAAACTTCATAGTCTGGTCTCCGGGCTGACATCTAGAAAAGGCTATAGTGGCCTGTTATGACAATCCTTCCACTAATGTGGGAAATTTCAATGATGTGTTGTTTTTCTCGACCCCATCCCAGGTCCAGGGAATGTCCTTCCTGGCAGCAGTTCTGATCCTGAATATGGAGCCAGCTGACGCCTTCGTGTGTTTTGCTAACCTCCTGAACAAACCATGTCAGCTGGCCTTCTTCAGAGTGGACAGTGGGCAGGTAGGGACAAAAAAATCTTGAAAGTTCGTCTGTGTAGGGCCACCTGGCCTTTTTTTGGTGGTCCTTTAGTTAATTTGTCCCATTGACACATTCACGTGCCCACATAGACCAGATTGCAACAGTCCCCTGGATAGTGTTCTTTGACAGTTTTGACTGTACGTGTCACTCATACTTTCCTTATTGTCTTCTCCAGATGAAGATATACTTCGACACCTATGAGGTGTTTTTTGAGGAGAACCTGCCGAAATTGTATGCACTGTTCCAGAAGTGGAAGGTGACCCCTGACCTCTACCTCATAGACTGGTAGGTTCAATGCAAAGGATCTCCATTAATAAAAGCACATCATGTGTTTACTAGTCCAACTGAATCCTATCTTGAGGGTAAAAAACATTGATCTTTATCTGATCAAATTCACCTGTCATTGATGTATCACGTGCTTGTTATTTGTTCATGGGCTTGTCAAAATATCACATGTATCTCTGCAGACACAAATTTTTGCCTAAAACTCAGGTGCAAGCTAAGTGTTTTTTTCTGCTTTTGTAGGATCTTCACACTTTATAGCAAGTCTCTCCCGCTGGATGTGGCCAGCCGAGTGTGGGACGTGTTCTGTCGGGATGGAGAGGAGTTCCTGTTTAGAACAGCTTTAGGTCATTCTCAACACTTTTATTATTTGATTGATTGATCTTAAATGGTGGTCTGTGCATTTTGTAGATAACTAATTCTCAAGGGAGCTCTTTGTATAACAAAAAATCAGAAGTCAACAATTTTTTCTTATTGATATACAAAATAAGAATAATTACAAGAAAAAAAGGTTGACTACCAGTAAATCATTTTACTGCACATGTACAGTGATGCATTATTCTCTAAGGCCACTGGTATAGAGAAACAACCAAGGGCCTTCAAACATAGGAGTAATAAGGGAATGTTAATTGTTTTACACACCCTCATAATCTTTAGTGAGTTCTGTGAATCATGTTAAGGAGTTGTTTGATAGAGATACTAGTATTGCGTACCCTTGTCAACCTACCTACTACCTACCTAGTCTGTTATATATAATCTCCTGGTCATTGGTCAACCGAGTATTGTAAAATAAATGATACTAGCCTATAGTCACCTATCCAGAATGTGTGATATTCTCTTGCCATCAATGTTAATTTTGTTTGTGTTTCCTTTAACAGGCATTTTGCTTCACTATGAGGACATTCTGGTGAACATGGACTTTATCCAGATCGTGCAGTTCCTCACCAAGCTGCCAGAGGTCATCGCTGATGACAAACTGTTCCAGTCCATTGCAGCCATCAACATGCAGGCCAAGAACAAGAAATTCAAAGAGGTGGGTTAATGTTGTGAAGTATTTTGTTGTTTCTGTTGATAATTTCATTTATTTGTCTGTAACATGACTCCACTTTGATTATGACTGTTGACTAATTCCTTATAGTTTGCATATGCAGTTGTACACACAATACGCATCTCAATGGTGAAAGTTTTATGTATACAGGCATGTGCACAGTGCAGAACAGCATGCCTGTAAATTTTGGGCATGCAATGCTTTGAAAATCTTTGGACTACCTTGACCTATGTGTGACCATACAGTTGTCTATTGCAAAATGTGAGTAAGTAACTTGTTGGGCATGTTAAAAAAATGTGACAGGAACTTTAAGAGGACACAAAGTTTTCTTGCATTTTGCAGGTCCTGTCGTCAGTAAAGGAGGGTGTAGCATCCCAGAATGCAGACAGAGAAAAGGGGGAATAAGGTGGAAACCAACTTTTGATAAGCCACCTGTCCACCCCTAGTACCGAGTGGCATTGAAACCCTTTGAAATTCTGTTGCCAGTTTTCCCTTGTAGAGTTTCTTTGCTTCCAGACAAATAAGTTAAGACTGGCTTTTGTCAAATAGCGCTCCTTGTTTTGCTACAGCTGAGTTTGTAGTAGCAACTGATTTCATAGTCTCCATTTCTCCTGAAGTACCACAGAGAAATTGGTGCGCTTTTCGACCCTTAACACTTAAGTTCATGATTTGTTTATATGTTAACTTTTGATGTGAGAAAACAGAAAATATGTTCATTCCCTTACCAGCAATGCTGCTTTCCTTCTGTTTAACAAATTTATAAATTAACTTGTGGAAATAAAGGAAACCTAGAAGAAATGTATACCCTTTAAAGCCATTCCCATTGTAAAATATATTCATCATTTTATTTAGTAGCTAACATTTGTCTTGCCAGGCTAAAGAATGTGGCACTAAATTCCCCCATCTTTCTTGCAAAGTATTATGTAGGTTTAACTTTTTTCCTCATAGTAATTTTAGGATCTTTGATAAATGTAAGTTGAATGCAAATTATGAAACTGCCAGCAAATATTTTTTGTGACTGTGCATATTGTACATGTACATAAGACTGACCCTGTTGAAAAGCGATCCTGTCCTGATGTATCCAAGATGGCATGTAGATATGTAAATTCCACCCATTTATTCATGATGCGATTTTTGTCATTAATTTGTAAAGTATCAGTCCAACTTTGTGAGCAACTGTGGAAGACATTTTAATCCTGATTCAGTTTATAAAGTAAGACGACTTGTAAATATGAAGAAATTTAGGTTATTTGCCCAGCCAAATGTATACATGTGTAAGCAACATGACAATGCAATTTGTCCAAATTGAACTTGAATACCAGCTCTAGTTCAGGTCAGTGATATATTTGAAGGGGTGTAAGCTTCTATCAACTTTTAAGCTTGTGTACCCTTCAGAATTTTTAAGGTTAAATATATGTCATTTAGAAAAATAATGTGAGCTTTTTTTACACAGTTCTGCTTAAAGTTGGGGGAAAGAAATATCATTCATACAAACTTACCAAGTTTTGGTTTCTTGTATTGTTTCCTCTGAATGTTGGCTCTGAAAATTGGCTTTCTTTTGGCATGAGTTGTATGGCTTTTGCAAATTTCATCCCGTAAACAATTTTAGTCTGATTTTCATAGCATTTGGCTGGAAAGTTGTCAAACAAATTGGTTAGGTTTGCATGTTTCCTTAATTTTTTTTTCATTTTAGGCCAGACCTCTTCTGAAAGATGTACCTTAGTTACAAGAACATGTACACACATATGTTATGTGACTTACCAATTGTTGAGTTAATCTTAATGTATTCCCTGCTGCTCTTTTGTGAAAACACCATCATGAAATATCACTTTTCATCAGCCAAGTTTGTTTGACTCAAATGTAATATGTATCAACTGAGAGTTCTAAAATTGTTGAATTTGATTGAAGCAACTGTAATACATATACACGTGTAAACACTTGTAACATGATTATACACATACATCTCTTTCTCGTATACAAAACCCTTTTATTTTGTTTGTTACAGATTATGGTAGTTTTGTCATACGTATTCAATGTGATCATTTTTGTTTGCACTTACACATTTTTGTTTACACTTACACCTTTATTTCAAATTGTACTTTGTGTTACTAATGTTGCTAGATAGTCTATTTGTATGAGTCAAGAAAAGGTAATATGCATTAGCTCTTCAAAGAATATTCAGGAAATTGTTAATATTTGTTGTCTCCATGCAAAGTCGTCTAATAGATTAATAGATAAAGCCACAGTTTCTGAATTCAGGATCACAAGTGACAGAAATTTCAGTGGTTTTCTTTTAGATAATGTGTCTAAAGTAACATTACTGTATGCTTGTATGATATATGCGAAATAATGCAGACCAAGTTTTTTATATTCCTTTTCTACATACAGACATCTATGGCAACCCTAACCTTGACAGGACAGGTATATTTCTGTACCAAAATCTGATGTTTTGTATTTGGATCATATTTTTATAGCAGCAGTGTTATACAACTCTATGAAAGTGATGGAATACCTCCCCTTTGTCTCTCCAGGACTTCTAAAATTGAATCTTCTTATCGTCTACTGAATGGTACTGATAAATTCCCAATAGAGGGGAAATTTTACTGTCATCTTTCCTGTTGACAGTTTTTGGAATTGTGTAGGCAACTGGACAGTCCAATCACAGCCCAGGTGTCAGTGTCAACTAGAGCTGTGTACCTAAACAAATTTTAGGTACAGGTACAGGTACAGGTACACAGGTTTAGGTACAGGTCCGGACCTGAACCTGTACCTGAACAATTCGACCAATTTATATGCTCTTCTGAACTCCTTCAATAACAAAAAAAAACATAAATAAACTTGATAGTTAAGGTTTATTCTTTGTTTATGGCGAATGCTCAGATAAAATATAGGCTATATATATGTTTTTGTTTTCATGAACACACTGTCCTTACACAGGGATCCATTGTTAACCAGCTATTTATACATTTGAGGTCACAAATAGGCATAAAATTGGTGTGAAATTGTTTAGGTACAGTACCGGTACTGAGGGATTAGGTATTTTGGACCTGTACCTAATCAATTTTTCCGGTACAGTATCGGTACTGCGTACCGGTACACAGCTCTAGTGTCAACCAATCACAGCCCAGGATTCAGCAGTCAGTTTCATCCAATCACAGCCCAGTTTCATGCATCAGTTCCAACCAGTGTCTACCAATCACAGTCCTGTACCACAAACCTTGGAACTAATATTTAATGTTTCAGCCAGCATTTTAAGCGGGCACACTTTTAGAACTGTGACTACAAGTAATTTCCGTGGTATTCCATCATAAAGTAATAGGTTGTAAACACATGCACCCGAAATAAAAAAGACACAGGTCAGCCAAAGAATCTTTGGAAATGCCATCATGACACTTTGTGGCCAACAACAATTTAATGAAGTATATTCTAAGTAACATTTGGCTTGGGGTTCCCAACTGATTCAGGGCATGGTAAATTTGTGAGGCAAGAGTCATTTCAATGGTACACCCTACCTAGTGTAAATTAAATGTCTTACCAAAAACCATATTACTGGTGATGATCTACCCATGCAGCATCCTGGTGGACAAGCCTCTTTGGGAAACCCCAGGCTAAGAAAAAGCTTCTCAATTGCTCATTATATTGACAAAATTTAGAAGAGGTTTAGTTTCAAGCTGTAGCAAAAATGTGATGTTTGCTGTACACTGATAATCTTACATTGATGATCGTGATGTTAAATAAACATCAACTACTACTAAAGGATGTTTCTATAGAAGAAATCAAAAACTCAATCATGTAGTCTTTTTAAAGCCTGTTTTGTAGGCGAGTGAACTTGTTCTAAATGGTGGTTTGTGAGAAGTAACGAAGGATACAGAACAACTGTTTATCCTTACATAACAGAACTTTCATTCTCTGCACAGTGATTATGGAGGGAAAACTGCACCATTCACTTGTACCGAAACTGCCCTATTGTTGTGCTACAACTGGAACGAAATTTTGTGTTAACATTTTTATCTATTTCATCCTGTGTAATAGGCAGGTGCTTTGGTTGGAGAACATGCATGTATGACAATGAATTGTACAGAGATAACTTCAGCACATTTGGTGATGCTTGTAGCTAGACTGTATAGAAAGTTGGTAAAAGTTTTTGTGCAGCTTTTGTTTTCAGAGAGGTAAGCGTCAGAAAGGCTGCAATACAGCTCGAGGGTTGCCTTGGGCGCTGTGCAATTCATATGATGTTGTCATACCTGATTGTGATGAAATTACACGATTTTTTTGCCTTTGCCCACCCCCCCCCCCCCTTGCCCCCATAAGACTAAGAGTTGCGCTCGTGTGATGAAATTTCTGCCAAATGTACAAAGGAAACCTCTTTAAATATGATGAATGTGACTAATTATATAAATCCCAGATTCTATATGCTCGTGACTTTGTTTCATTGTGTTTCCCTTCTGTGAGTTACTCGTACGTTATTTCGTCAGAAATTCTAGATGTCCGAAAACGCTTGAGCTGCGATTCACTGAAATACCTATACTAGTAATGTATTATGTCCCGTTGACACCACTTTATAATAACGCTGTTTAACTATAAAATTCCTACCGTCTGTAACCAGTTCATGAGACCATTGACGAAATAACTACCTATTATTAGTACCGGTATTACCGCATTTGCAGACTCCTGTTACCAAAGCAAACAGTGACGCCGACAGGGAGATCCCTACGTTCCAATAATCTCCAAGCAGGTCTTTGGCAAAGTCGTAAGAAACCGGCAAGACAGTGTCAGTATACAATAAAACGGTATTAATTTGTATAATGGACATGGGTAGTACCGGTTGGCTACGATTTTGCCACTCAAAGATCTGCCTGAAGGCGCCTATGTTCCGACAGACCGACACCCCCTACGTTCCGACGTAGGGTCAGGGCTGGGGTTGAGTTGCCGGAACATACGGGGGGTGGGGCATAGGGTGTAGTCGACCCCGACCTATGAAACATAACTAGTATGTTTATACACGTGGGTCTTGCATTCCATTACAATTTAACGCGTATTTAATGTAGGTATTATATGCACATTAAAACCAGGAAATTGTTCATAGCTTGACCCAATTCAATTACGCGGTCGGTTTGTGATTGGCGCAGAACGGACCAACATTCTCTGATGACTTGGTATATTTGTGTGAACACATAATGCCACGGCTTGAAATAGTATCTCTTCTGCTGAGAATATAGCCTGGATGCCAGACTGTGACCAGGGCCTACTCAGCCAGTTTCTCGGCTGCAAGGCCACCGTGGAGGAAATAACTTTAGTATACCACAGACCCTCCAAGCCCCACCACCCTGAGCTTTCAAGTTATGGTATAAGGAAGGGGCAAGTTGGCCGGCCTCGAACCGATTACCTGGGCTGTATATACCCTGGATATAATCCTGCATCCAGGCTAAGGAAAACATGGTCCTTTTTCCTCCATCGATCATCAGTCAGAGATGACGTTATTGACGTTATTATAACAGCTGCGGGATGGGTCTTTTACTCCTGATGATGCGTAGGAATTCGCAGGAGGGTCTGCATGTATCTGTCCGTGAGGCGTAGCGACAGATTCACCGTTAATCGTAGCCAGCCCATTAAAACACGTTACGCGCAGGTTGGTTCTCGTTTTCAAGATCGACCTTTCGCAAGAACTGACCTTTGGCGGGCCTCATTAATTTATTAGCTGCGTTGCTGACTCACCCCCCCCCCGCCCATAAATTTACTGGGATCCCTCCATGTGGAGCCTCTGGGAAAGGCTGGGGCGTGTCTCTCTCCATACTAGTAACTGGTTCACAGCGTCAGCACTGAGTTGATGATAATTTAGAAGCATCTTCTCCCTGTCATACTTACTTATATTTGATGTAGAACTGGTATCTGTATCTGTAAGACAATGCAGTTGTTGTACATATTCGTTTACTCTTTGCAAGTTTCAAAAACTACACCGTGCCCGTCGTCACGCCAGAACCTGTCATCAACGACCGGTCTCTAAATAAGCACGTCCTCTGGCCGTGTATAGCATAGAGACGGTGTCGAAGAGCAGATGATCCCACGTCCTTCACAGTCTGATAGCATCTGCAGAAAATAACTGTACGTACAAATCAATTATCTATTTTCATGTTCATCTAACGTTGATGTTAGTCGACAATTTCGTCTTGGAGTACTATTGATTAGGTAATGCATAACATACAACTGTATAACTACGAAGGCTATTCAAATTTTGTTTGCTCGCTGCTGAGGTCAACTATGTATGGCGCTGGTGGATTCCTTGTTCGGAAGTTGTTCTACGTGGAGATGTTGTCCTTGACCCAGATTCTCTGAAACTAGATCAAATGTCAAAGAGGACAATAATATGGTGGATGTACTACTATAAGGGACGACGCTCGGTTCGGAAGACGTCAGGATATTTTAGAAAGCGGATGGCTGAAGAGGGTCATCCCTTGTGGATATCTGTAGATGTGATGTGATGTAGTATCCGTGATGTGCATGCGTGATCATGTGTATCATATTACTGATAACTGCTTCGAAAAAGACATGCTTATTTGCCTTTCATCCGATGTATCTGTGTGTCACGGTGCGTGTGTGTGCGTGCATGCGCGTGTGTGTATGCTTGTGTGCACGTTTCTGCAGTGCTGTTCCTGAATGTTCTGTCAGAGGGCACTTATCCGCCTTCGGGGGTGAACTCTGATTACCTTGCTTAGTTTAAGTGTTGTGGAAGTTCACCTGTCTTCTGTCTAGGCCAACCGGTAATACCTGAACAGTACTTTCTTCTCCGGAAAATGCCGACCGGAAACGACGACACGGCGTCTTCCGAAGATACCCCGAAGGGAGCCGACGGAGAAATGAGGGAAGATGCTGTTGTGTGGACGAGAGAGAGTATTTATGAGATGATGCGGAACAGGTCTCGGGATCAGAATTTCCGTTTCGTTGGGAGGGACATTGTTATAACGGAGAGGAATGTTGGGGACATGACAGCCATTGGGACCAAACTGTGGACAACGGTGAATAGCTTTTATTTTATTGAGATGTGTTTGACTTGTTTAGTTTAGTTGCAACATCATCGAAACGGGGACATGTGAAATAAGATTTTTTCAGATCATCATCTGCCACTAATGCATTGCAGTAATGGCCATGAAAGAATATGGCCGAAGTTGAACGTAGTACTACCGTTTACACAGCTGTGTGGCCCAATGACTATTAGGAAGCGGAGATGAGTGTAACCCTATACTCCGTGTGTTGAGGGAAGAACTTTAACGTAGTACTGTGTATGCGAATGTCTTTTCCAGGCTGAGGTGTTCAGTCAGTACCTGGAGAGCGGCATCTTCCCTCTGCAGGATAAGAAGGTGATAGAACTGGGTTCTGGGACCGGGCTGGTCGGGATCGTGACCAGTCTGCTGGGTAAGTGTGTTGACTACATCCATGCCGTTATGCAATAGGAGGCAACAGGCAGATAACCTCCTTGGTCACACGTCGTACGATTGGATTTAGTCGTAGGCTGAGACAGAAACGACTAATCTACAAGGATTACCGTTAACCTTTTCCGTCACAAAACAGCTGAATTTTCCATGACGCATCCACTTTTTTCTCAGAGGAAACATCACGTGTTCTTGCCTACTCTAGGTGCTGATGTGACCTTGACTGACCTTCCTGACATCATCTATAACCTTGAACCTAACGTGGCGATCAACACTCGGGGAGTCAAGCATCCTCCCACCGTAGGTACCGCTCCAATGTGGCACGGCACAGAAATCTTGCAGTGTTTATTTCTCTAGTAGTATAAGAACATGAGCTGATGTCACGTGTCGGCCAGGTCGTCCAAAGTGGACATTTTAACTTGATGACTGAGTACAGTCAACCAAGACTTGTTCATTCTGTTGGACAGCAGTTAGCTACTTTTATTCTTTTCTATTAGATGGTGTGCGTCTACCCTCAGTATTATTCTATAATAAGATACAGCATAAACACATAGGACCAAAATCATTCATTTACTGCTACACATGGTTTCATCGGCTCGCACTATTAAACTGTTACAGAAGCTATCCATTGGGATGTTGATGTGAACAAGAAAGTTAAATGGTTGATAAAATTCTAAGCTTTGCCTATGGTGAGATTATGAGTGTCTGTTTGTTTGGCAGCACATATAACTCATGGTTTGCATATAAACGTTAAAAGTATATTTTCTAATCTTGAAACAAATAAGTTTATGTTCCCGGTTAGGTGTGCCCTCTAGCGTGGGGCGTGGATCTGCATTCGTTCCCCAAGGCAGCACACTATGACTACGTCATCGGGAGTGACCTGGTCTATGACGCTGATGTTTTTGAAGGATTGATTCAGACAATAAAATACCTGAGCGATGCGGACACAACCATCCTGCTGGGTACGCTTTACCCACAGCCATTTTTGTCATCCAGAAAAATAGCTTATGTTTTCCTACTGCTCAGCAAGTTTAGACTATTTTGAAATGGTTGATCTGAAAAGCAAATACCCACTAGTCTCTCTGAAAAAAGCATTATTCTGGTGTTTAGGCATCAATGTTGTTTTTTGCATTCTTGTAAACATTTTTTTCAAAACATTCGTTTACTCACACAAATGGCTGCTAGCCTATGAGGTGATACATGTACAATAGTAGTCATAAACTAGTATTTTTTGAGTGCAAAGAATGAAACTTTATTGCACAATAAATACAGTGTACTGGAAATCGCATTTGTTTTTGTGCATGCAAGTTGTAACCAAGGAAACCAATCATTAAAAAAAAAGAACGGTAGAATTTTTTGTACTCTTCTTGATGCTTTGATAACACTGTGAAGATATGTGATAATGAAGTCATCTTTTTTCTCTCCCATAGGTTTTCACCTGCGGGTTCCTGACCGAGACCTGAAGTTTTTAAACATGTTCACTAATGAGTTCAAGGTGGTCAAAGAACACGAACTGCCCAATCAGGGAAAGGCTGTTCGTCTGTATGAGGCCAGAACAAAATAAATCTCTGAGTACAATGTATAGAAATGAAATCAGATCCTTGTCACATATGTCATACAACAGGTGTTCTCAGTCTCTCAAAGTACAGAAACAAATCATAGAAACACAACAATATAACAACAGACATACTTAGAGACTACAGGTAATCTACCTTGCAAAAGACCATGTGGTATGGGTGAGAATGTGCTTTTACCATTACTAGTAGAATTTCTAGCATTATTTTTTTCATATACATGTACTATGAAATATTCATGGCATAGGTTGTCACAAGTCAACATGAATTTGACATCAAGAGAAATCCTGGTATAGATGGGACAGACTTGTATACTGTTCACCCAAAATTATCAAAATAAAAACATAAAATCAAAAAGTGACACTCATCGAGTCATCCTCTATTAGTTCTGCACAAGATGGACAAACCGTTTGGTCATGAATGCAACTGCACCTGTACCCTCCTCAGTTTACTTTAAAAAAACAAACAACTCCATCGTAGCCTTCGCAGTAGTCCTGGGTAACCGTGCGTGAGATGGGCTCCCACAATCCCCTGCGCTGAAGGTCAGCCATGAGCAGCTCAAGCTTGTGATACTCCTCTACTGTCTCGAGGAAGAACTTCCGGATCCCAACACACACAAAACCACCTGAACAGAGGCATAATCAGTAATAATACATGAGTTAAGGTATCTCCTGGGACCATGGATTGATTCAATACATGGGTGTGGAATTCATAAGAGATAGATTCTAACATTACAGCTGTGAAAAAGTCTGTGACCATTGATTAAGCATCAGTAACAAAATCCTATATCATATTACAGTATCTTAAAGTCTACGGCTGTGTAATTTACCACAAAAAATACTGCAGACTTTGTCATGAATTAATATTCTTGTGACTACAAGTCATGAATTAATTCCATGGTTTCATTCTTTTTTTTTATGTTGTGGCTACATAGAAAGGCATGGCAATGTCACACCTAACATGACACAAACTGTTATAAATGGTGGCCTTTAGTTTGCCTTACCTGGTTTGACAACTCTGATAAGTTCTTCCAGACAGTCACACTTCACATGACCCTCACAGAATGCCCCACAGCAGGAGGTGGCATCATATGTATCTGTAATTTCACAAACACAAACACAGCTAGCCTTTGACCATGCTTTGACATACCATCACACCACATATAACCAAAAATAATAGTTAACTTAATCTTGGTGAAGAAATAGTAATTTCCTCATTAAATTCCGTAATAGCTACTCGAAAATAATAACAGAAACAGTAAACAGTAGTGGCTTACCATCCTCTATGTTTAACCTGTTTCCCAAGAAGTCCAAGATGAAGTTATTTTACACACACAAACACACACATGCACACACACACATACACAAACATACAACACACATGCGCACATACACACAAACACATGCAGACACACAACAATGAAAACTGAATCCCAAGAATTGCCAAACAACAGTAACACATCACTGCATGTTAATGATTGGGCTTAAATAATCCAATGGCTTTAAACCCGGTGTTATTTTGCACCACCACTTCCAGTTTCTATGAGTCATGACTATAGTACACGCCTGCAAGTTGCCCAAATCTGTGAACCAAGACATTCTCCGGAAGCTGTAAATATGAGACAGATATTTTTAGTGATCGCTTCATCAGTGTCTATCCAAGAGAAATTTTAAAAAAAAAAGGTGTTATACTTATAGACAGCTATTAGTTCTGAAGAATCTGTGTAAGTAGATGTAATGTGCAAAAGAAAATTAAGAAATAAATTTCTAAATGCTCTCATGAAGCAAAATCCATGCATGAAGCTGGCAGTAACAGGCTTTTGAAAGTTACCACAATCACCCCAAAAGGAGAAGACGTCCAGATACTGATAGCTACATTTCTACTAAATGATCACAAAACTTATGATAAAAACTTTTCAGAATAATTTGTCATTTCATGTTGTTTATATCCCAATTAATCACATCGATACAATTTAGTCCCGATAAGGACTACTAGTATTATAAAAACAACTAGAAAGGCCAATATTTGCTTTGGAGCAAATATAGCGATGGGTTCACCACATTTTACCACATGGCAGGGAAAGAATGAGAAACACAAGGGAAAACAATGCTTTACATTGATATAACTATAGTATGAAGTAACATACAACTAAGACTACAACAGTTGGATAGCTATTCCCTACATTATTGGTTAGGATTGCATAATGCAAACTGTTGATTTTCAAGATAAAAAGAAGCGTTCATAGCCCGCATTCCAATGCTGGAGCAGGAAAGCTTAAAATACCTACCAAAACACTTGAATACAGACATACTGTCAGTATGGCATGGCTCTGTGCAGGTGTAAATGAAGTTAAGCCAGTTAAATCCCAACAGCCAATCAGCAAGGAGAATAGAGGAAAGCTGCATGCCTATTGGTTGATGCCTTGCATGCCATTGTGATGACTCATGTCCAAATGTGGTAAACACTGCACACTTACACAGTAATACATTAGCTATTACACAGCCAAAAACTCAAATAAAACCATTCTAAAAGCCTGTATCACAATAATTAAAAACGACCTAGGGGTATTTGCCCACTGTACCTCCATACCAAATTTCAGGACCTTAGGCCCTAAAATGAAGAAGCTGAATCCATTTAAAGATATGGCAGGAGGAGAAGGAGAAGAAGAAACATCAGAAAAAGCAATATGGTTTCACCACACCACTTCGTGGTGTGGTGAACCCATAATAAAGTTTCTTCTTTTTCATTTGAGTTTGAACAGTTTGAAAAGCTATCCAGCTGAAGACAACTCCCACGAGCTCCCCTTTGCTTTGTAATCGTGAAGATCGGTTACTTACTGAGTTCGGTAGATTGTCATTATTATGTTGTATTTTGTTAGTTTTAGATTGTTGTCCGACACATACGGGACTATTTCATAAGCAACAGTGCCTCCAAAGAAGCCAAACCCGCGTATTAAACAGGCCAATTGTGTCATGTTGTGATAAAACAAACTTATAGTTACATCTCCTTGGAAAATAAAGTCACATAAAATATATATCGGACACTGGCCTAGTCTTTACTTGTAGTTGTATGATACACGTATCCAAAATCCTCTCCCCAAAAGAACGAGTTATGCCCGAATAAAGAGCGGAGGATACAGCTACACCCCCCCCCCTCCCTCAAAGACAAGAAACCGCCAACCTGGTCTTGACGTAGCGTCTAGACTTCCGTCGCGTCTTACGCTGCGTCTGGTCTGGGTGTCTCGCTTGGGCCGCGCCCTGGTCTTCCGAGGAAGCGAAGCGAAGCTCAGTCTCACGTTGTTCTTTAATCAGTATACTCGGCCTTGACTCGGTCTTCAGCTCGACTTCAATTTTTGTTTTGTTTAAGGAAAACTATCGGTGGAACGTTAACTATGAACGTCAACCCCGGAGGTGCGCTCGGAGGTGAGCTTGATTATATTTCTAGTATCCTTTGCTACACAGTTTGATT